CCATTTATGATGCAGCCTGGTTTTTCTGGAAAGGACCAAAAGATGTGCCAATTATGCTCATTTCTGAGAGGGACAGCATCACCACAGCAGTGATGTAGAATAACTGTTCCATCTTCTTTTTACTAGTAACTAGTTTTTTTCTTTCCAGCATTAAAAACTTAAAAAAAAGTTTCTGCTTTTACTTGATTACGTGTGATTTTGTTACTTAATATTTTCATTTAAATGTGTGCCTTTTTACTGTATTCTATTTATTTTGATTGTACTTAATTACAATATTGTTATCAAACAGTATATATGACATAATTTCATATCTTTTTACCCCGTGTGTTTAAATGCGTTTAAATAATGTTAAAGTTCTGTATCAAAAAATACCAATCTTGGGATTTTAAAAAAGTATATTATAATTACTCTTTTTTTGTTTTGTTTTGTTGTTGTTATAATTACTTAAGTTTCAGCCAGCAGCAGAAATTGAGACTCATCAGACCACAAAACATTTTTTAGTCTTGTATTGCATAGTTTTGGTGAGGCTGTGTGAATTGTAGCCTTTGTTTTCTTTTCTATTTTTAGATGGCAAGAGTGGCACCCAATGTGGTCTTCTGCTGCTTTAGCCTGTGTGCAAAGTTTGAGTTTGCAATGCTCTTCTGCATACCTTAGTTATAACAAGTGGTTATTTGAGTTACTGTTGCTTTTTCTCCCACAGAGCTGCAGTTTACTTCATATTTTCCTCTTTTTTGGACTGTCTTCTGTAAATCCCAGACATGGTTGTGTTAGAAAATCCCACCAGATTAGCAGCTTGTGAAATACTCAGACCAGCCCATCTGGTACCAACAACCACGCCACGTTCAACCCAGTTAAAATAATGTTTTTTCTCATTCTGATATTCAGCCTGAATGTCTGCAGGTCATCTTGACCACATCTAAATGCATCGAGTTACTGCCACAGTATTGGCTGAATAAATGTTTGTGTTTGTGTTACCAAAGAGTTGAAAAAGTCTACCTAATAAAGTGGCCGTAGAGTGTATATCCAAAACTATAAAGCAAAATGATTTAATGTTTTTAACAAATTACAATAGACTAAATACTCAAAACAAGAATTTGTTTAATTATATCTTCCTCCCACTGATTCACACAGGTGCACAAACCTGCGGATAATTTACAGCTCAAATTTCTTGTAGCCTGGTCTTATGCTCCAATATTAAACCCACACACAGTCATAGTGGTGATTTAATATCAGTAGTTTATTTTGAATACACACCATAAATGTCTATCAGTCAAAAATATTAACTGAGATCAAACTATGAACACACACACACTACACAGCAAATCCAGCATGTCCAAATTAACACTGTCGGATTTGATTTCAACACTATTAAAGTGTCTATATGGGTCCACACCAGAGAGTGTTAATTTAACTCTTTTTGGAGAGTTGGTACGTTAACTCTGATTTAGTGTTAAACACCAAATCTGTCTGGAGTTGATAATTTAACACTTGGTGTTAAGAGTTTATATATTAACTCTCAAAGAGTATTTTCGTTTAACTACGTAAGAGTTATCTTCTAATTCATTCTAAAAAGCGGGAATTTTACTGTTCTGAACTTCTAGAAATTTCTTTTGGAAATAAACATTTACTAAAAAGATGCAATGGTTTTTGAAAAACATTTATTCTGAACTGTGCACCACAATTCCAAAACATTTTCTGAAAGATGTAACAGTATACATGTTCTCACTTTCATTAGAATTTTGTTTATCAAAAGGTCTGACATGGTAAATGCAAATAACAGCATTCTCATCACTTATTTCTTCAATACAATATGCATGTCCTTCATTCATCCCTTTGTGGAACTTCAACGCACTTCTGCTCTCCCCCATATTCCATCTTCACAAGCATATCCTGTGCGGAGATTGAATAAAAATTAGTTGACACTAATTAATGGCACAAATAATCCAGTAAACAATTGCAGCACAGTAAAAAAGAAAAAAAAGGAATCCTCTTTGAGCCATTACTTGTGTAAAGTATTTTCCCAAAAGACAAAGACACAGGCAACAGGTAATACTGAACTAAATGTAAAACCTCAACCTTTTTAATTTTTACCTAAACCGTGTGCACAAAACTCTGGAGGGATCTATGCTAACGTAGAATCCAGTCAGGACGTCTGCTACTGCTGTTTGCTCGTGTTTTTTTTAAAAAAATTTTTATTTTTATTTTATTTTTTATGGGCGATCGGTTTCAGGCTTCAAGTAGCACCATTATACCAACATTTCACATTCTAGACATTGTTTTAGGTGTATTTGACCAAAAGTTTGACTGAAAATTCACATGCAAGCTGTTTTTCAAGGCTGTGGTATTTGCCCGCAAACAATACCTTTCAGCTAGCTAAAACAGAATATTATGCTATCACCGAGCAACATGGCTAATGCCTTTCACACAGCTTTGTCTCAACTCCAAAGAGCCACAGAAGTAAAAGCTCATAATAATAATTGAAACAATCTTTGAAAAAATGACTTACCAAGCATGGCAAACAACTCAAACATGTAGAGCAAAATGTTCTGAAACGGCTTCACTTCAGCTTCGATTGGAGCCGTGCTGGGGGCAGAGTCTGTGAATTTACTCTGTTGGTGTCATAGCCCCTGTAGGAGTTCAGAGTTAAGAGGTCAAGAGTTAATGTTTCCATTGTAACACCTCCAGATTTGACAGAGAAACACTCATTTTTAACACTCGATTTCAACTACTATCATTTTACACCTCAGAGTTACATTAAAAGAATGTGACTCTGCTTAGAGTAAAATTAACTCTACTTTTGCAAGAAGACTATTAACACCAAAACATTTAACACTTTTGAATTTGCTGTGTAGGGGAGAGCTATTGAAGGAAAGAGAGATTATGCCACCTACCGAGCAGCGACGAGCGGAGGAGGATCAGAGGAGATGTGGTTTGTGCGAAACTGAAGCAGCAGTAACTTTTTAAGAGGGGGGCTAGATCCACCCCTGGAGAGAGAGAGAGCCTTAAGAGAGAATTAGAGAGAAAGACCTTATAATATTCTGTATTTCAAGAAGTGTAGTTGTTGAAAGGGACTTCAACACCATGACATGATGTTGGAGCTTAGTGAATCCTATGGGCTCAAATTGTGGTCATAAATATTTTGTACTTGTAAATCAAATGTATATTTGTGAGTATTTGAGTTTTGTAACCTTGTAAACCAAAATATGTGAAAATGTTATGCTTGTGCATCTACAGATGAGAATTTCTGTGTGTGTAAAAAAAGATTTGTGTTTGTAAAAGTATTTACACAAGTTACAATTATTTTTGTTAAGGTCTGGTTACAGATATAAAGCAAAAAACTACATGTAAAACTCTGTGCTCGGGTTCCCTGGCTGCATGTGGCTTTCAACTAACACATAGATGCAGAAACATAACATTTTTCAAATATTTTGGTTTACAAGGTTACAAAACTCAGTACACAAATATGCATTTGATTTACAAGTACAAAATATTTATGACCACAATTTGAGCACATATGAGTCCCCAAAGACTCTTGGAGCAAATGAATCCTGAGGGAAATCAATGGGCAAGCCAAACTTTAAACCATAGACTGTATATAAAAGATGGGATTAGTCACTGCCAAGCCGCTTTTTTGGTACTGGAAGTGACCCTATTAGGACAGGCCTAAGTTGTTTCTTGCATCAGGCTGTAACCATATTTATGTCTGCTGGGAAGTTGGACACGTTAACATTGGAGTCTATGGCAACTGACTCACTGTTTGAAGCAGCATCAAGTGGCCACTAGAGGAACTACAGGAACTTCATCCCCTTTGATTGGTGCTTAGATTTAGTCAGGGGTGTCCCGCTCCAAGCCTCAAGGGCCAGTGTCCTGCAGGTTTTAGATATCACCCTGTGTCAACACACCTGAATCAAATGATTAGTTCATTACCAGGCCTGTGAAGAACTTCAAGACATGCTGAGGAGGTAATTTAGCCATTGAAATCAGCTATGTTGGATCAAGAACACAACTAAAACCTGCAGGACATCTGCCCTTGAGGCCTGGAGTTGGACACCCCTGGCTTAAGTGATATTAAGGTTATATATCTTCACCAACACCCCTGACAGCAACATCAATTTTACATTTATTTTTAGTCCTTGCAACATATTTCAGGGCCCGGTTAAAAGCCAACAAGAATGAGGACATATAACAGCAATATATATGAAACAAAAACAAAAACCAATTAATATAAAACATATTCAGAGTGTTATTTAGTACAAAAAAGCACAAAACAGTTCTGTTAAATAACTGTGTCAAAAACATTAACTGTAGATAAAGTATTGGGAGGTTTTCCACAGTTTCAGCCCCACAAAAGATAACTTTAATATGCTTTCAATAATAAAAGTGAAAAATAAGTCTAAACCTGGGATTTGGTTCATTCCTGTTGTTACTTAGAGGGGATACATGATGAAAAATAGTAACGTGCAGGAAAACTGGGAAAAATATTGGCGAAAATATTTTTTTAAGTCAAAGAACAATATAACTTCACTTCTTAAAGTTATGTTGTATTTAATTTACATATTAATTTATATATTTGAACTCCTGGGATTAATAACTCATAATAATTTGTCAGTTTACTTTTGTAAATTTGACCTTTTTTTCTTGGAAATTTGAGTTTAAAAAATCTGGATTTTTATAACAAATTAAAGACAGTGAAAATAAATTAACAATAAAAGCAGGGGTGGATCTAGAAGGGTGGCATGGGGTGGCAAGTGCCACCCTAAAATGATCCCTTGCCACCCCAAGTGCCACCCCAGTTTTGCATATGACAGTGTTGTTTATTCAAATAAGATAGCATTACCAGTTTGAGCGTAGTTACAGTCAACAATGAATATAAATGCTAAAACTGAATATATTGGATAGTGTTCCTCCCCTGCACCATTAACAAATGGTTCAGCCCATAGCAGGACAGCTTTTTTCTTGTTTTCAGTAGCAAGCCATGCTTTTAATTGTGCCAGAGCATATTTTGAACAACACCATGGGAATTTCGGATTTTAAACAGGTGGTTGGTTGTTACACTCTGGAAATGGAATGAAGGTGAGTGTTATTAACCCTCTGTGGTCCACAGACACGCTGCACCTCCAAATCACATGACTGATGTAAGCTGACATAGCAACAAGCTGCAGCCACGCTGACTCTCTATTTCAGCCCACATTGAAAGTTCAGACTTTAAAGTTTTTAAATTTTAATTACAGGCCAGTAAATCCAGAGTTATGATAATGTATATAAGCCACGCTCTTTACTAAATACTGTCGTCACGTTTTTGTGTGTGCGTGTTTTAAGCGTTTTCTAAGGACAGCACGAAAACAGTAAAGAAAGAGAAAAAAAACCCTATTTCTTTTTGGTGGAAAAATGCACCATGTCGACCAATTAAAAAAAATAAGTCAACATGTGGGATTTGATTGTTTAGGAAGAGGGAAAAGTTTTAGGAGTGACGGTAACGGCAGCGAGACAGAGCAAGGGAGAGAGAGAGAGCTTAGATGTGGGAGATTTGTGAAGTTTAGTGTGGAGTGGATTCTTAGTGTGTTGTGTTGTCTTGTGTAGTTGTTCTGTTGTGTAGTCGTTGTTTTGTTTTGTGTGTCAGTGAGGGCACTATGTCACAAAGGCACATTTGCAATGTAAACACTGTCACTAAGTAGAAAACCAGCGGAGTGATACACCTCCTATTGTCAGGCCTGCCAAGTGTTGGGCCTGCAGGTTTATCCCTGTGCTGTTCTGTCTTTTGGTGGAGAAACTTTTTTTTTTTTACTGGCACACATCATTTGTGGGGCATCTTAGTGCGACACCTGATTGTTCTCTCATTTTAGTTTTAGTAATATTTTTAAATTCTTACACAAAATGAAAAAACAGCAGGTGCATTGGCTGCATTTTTAGATAAATAGTTAAATAGTTTACAAAATGTACAATTATATTATATTTGCATTTCAAGTTGTAAAAATTTACTCAGCATGTCTGTGGGTTTTTTTACAGTAAAAAAATACAACTAGGATTTTAAGTTCTTTGTGTGATTTCAGATCAGTAATACTAATGCCAGTGAAAAACAACTAAATTCAGTTGAGCTGAAAAGATACCAAACGAGGCAAGGGGAAAAAAATAAAATGAAACAATCTGAGGGTGAAATACAAACGTAAACTCAAAAGGAGTCAAAAATGGCCGGTTGTATTTCAGACCTCAGTGGGTTAATCCAACAAATCATGAAAATTAGGTTTAAATTTTTGTTCATGACAGTGCAGATTTCTGACAAATTGTGTAATTTAAAGCATCCAACAGTGTGATTGTTTTCTAACAAAAAACAGTGAAACTTAAGTTAGACTTGTGTTTGTAAATGAACCGCCCAATGTTGTGTAGCTTTCTGGATTTTATACTTATTGGGCTACATATTTATTTATTATACAGGCTATACAGTACATAACATCAAAACTCACATGTTTTATGTAACTAAAGTGTGTAATTATGTGGGCTACAGATAATAATTAAGTTATAGACTATATTTATATGAAAAACGTGTATACTTACTGCATTTAAATTAGTTTAACCATATGTAACCACCTACATGTGTGTTTGAAAAAAAAAAGGCTTTGATTTTGCCACCCCATTTGATTTCTTTGCCACGCTCATGCCACCCTAAGAAAATTTCTCTAGATCCGCCGCTGAATAAAAGACCCCCTCCTCTATCGCCCCCAATTTAGGAGGTTCTTCATGAATTGACGTCCGCGGCTTTCCGTAGTGTTTACATCCGGCGTAGTCAATATGGCGTCTTGCACTTGGCCTGTTAGCTTTAAATAGACGTGTTTTAATTTCTTTGTTTCACGTTTATATTTAATGGGTTTCCTGGGATCAGTATGTAAAATTAGCCTTTTAACCACACTATTTATCAGTTGGTGTTTTTTCTTACACACACTTCCCGTTGCTAACAGTTAGCTCGGGGGTATCTGCGAACCATGGAGGTGGAGGAGCTGCGGCCCGTTCCCCGGGAGCGGGCCATCCTGGAGAGCTTCTTCGCCCAGCTCGGCATGTTTTCCTTCGACCGAGCAAAGGACTACGTGGAGCGGGAGAAGGACGGCAGCAGGAGCAGCGGGAGCATCTGGAGCGCGCTGCTGGCCGCTCTGGCTCACCTGGCCGCGGCGGAGAAGGTGTACCACAACATGACGTTCCTGGGACAGAAAATAGGTAGCTTTCTCTGCTGCTGTGGTCCCCTGTATAACTACCACCATAACACGGAGGGTGTGGTGGATTAAAGCAGATAAAATGGAGTATATATGGGGTCTGTGCATGTACTAAGGTAGAATAATTCGTCGATGTTTAATTGATTTCATTGACATTAAATGAAATTAAAATAATTTTTTAAAAAACGCGCAAATCTATGAGGGGAAAAAGTTTCAGGTGAAAATGGCATATTTGTAAGAAAAAAATTCAGGACAATGGAGCATGTTTATAAGTAAACGAAAGTCTAGGAGAAAAAATCTATTTGTAAGAAATGATAGCAAATTTAGGAGAACAATTGCAAATATGAATGTCAGTTCATGATAATAAAATGGCCTGTGGCGCTCATGCTGTGGAAGGAATGTTGGAATTGTGTGGTTCCCCTTAGAGCAAAGGGTCACTGCAATCACTACAAGTCTGTTCTGAGCATTCACCTTTAACCTGTGGTGAAATATTTCATGCGAGTGGTCTCCTTCAGAATGACACCTTCTTTAAAACGTCAAATATGGGAATGTTTTGGGAAATCTGGGTTCAGTCCATAATGGTGATTTCAGGGTTTTTACTCCTTTTTCCTGCTGTGAACATAAACATTTCTAAGTATTTATCTTTTTTTTTTTTGCTCCTAATAAACAGCTTTTAAATGTAGTGCTGTGCATGCAGAGTTTTAGGTTTTATAATTTGTTTTATGTCCTCGATGGATGTCCTGCATCACACCTTGCAGAACGTTTGTTCACAACAGCTCCAACTGTTTTTATCGCTGCTTCAGTCAGAATTTTAATCCAGTCTGAGCTGAGACTTATTATGTTTTCATCTTCATTATAAGTAAGCAATGATTTCTTATTGTCCATTATTTGTACTCAATTAAACATTTAAAACTCCAAATTTAATTTCCACCACCAGGTGGCGCTGCAGCACCTAAGTGTTTCTGTAGCTTGACACACACCCCTCTCTCTGCAGGTGGCCAGTCCTTCTTCAGCCGGAAGGACTCCATCCGCACCATCTACACCTCGCTGTACAACGAACTCAGGAAGGTGGTGATGATGGGGCGCCACGGCCAGTTGAACTCCTCCTCTTCCGCCTCCTACCTGGAGGACCTGTTATCGCACCTTTCAGAGCAGCTCTGCCACTTCATCCAGGCCCGCATGGAGATGGCTGACCTGTACGAGAAAATGCACTCACTGGGCAGCCAGAAGAATGTCAACTCTGAGGAGCTGGTCACAGTGCTCGAGGTCGTCCTCCAGAAATACAGCTCCAAGTGTGTATCTGATTACAGATTACTTTTACTGAAGAAAATCTTTTAATTTTGCAATGTAAGAGTTAAATGGAACAGTTCGAAACTACTACAACTAACATAGTTGTAGCAACTAAGACTTCCAGACCCAGGTAGTTTGGTCCTTTGATGTTGATTATAAAAAAGCGAGATTAAAAAAACCCCAAACATGTACGGTTAAGTATTTGGACAACGACACAATTTTGACACAGACCAGGTGACTGTGCATAGAAATGTCTGTAATTCCTAAACAGGTAATGCAGTATTTAAATTAAAGTCCTAGAATTAAAGCTGGAAGTCAGCACTTAAATCATTTCTTCATAGTTTAATTTAAAACCTGCTGTGGTGGTGCACACTGGCAAAAATTGTGTCATTATTCAAAAGCTTCTGGACCCAAGTGTAAAAAACAAAGAGCGAGAGAGAAAGGGAGAGAGTGACATATTGAGGTTGTTGAAGGGAAACTTTGAGCTCAGGAATCTGGTGTTTTCCCCAGAGACGTGTCAGCAAAGTGGCGTGCTGCAGCCACAGCAGGAACAGAAAGCGAGTGAGCTGTTGACGGAGCTGCAGCGGAATGCGGCGTGACGCGCCACACGTCAACGGGTCAGCCAGCCATGAACCGGCGAGAAACTGTAACGTGCTTGCTCTCTCTCTCTGCCTTGTCAGCAGATCTGGGGGAGACGTTTGTCTCAGCTGCTTTGAGGTTTCTGCAAATTAGGCCAGAAGAGAAAATAAAGGATTCTGTCTCCTCAGAGAGATTTTATTTTGGCACCCTCAAAACTTTTTCACATTTTGCCTTTGCAGGTCTGTCAGCACTGTTCAGAAGTGATTGTTTCACTGGAGCCTCAGTGTGTGTTTGTTTCAGGCCTGGAAAAGATGAATAATGTCAGACCCAACAGGAGGAATAATGACTGACTGATGGATTGGTTCCTTCTTTACTTCCTCACCTCCTTCTCTTTCTTTTTTGCTCTTCCAGGTTTCACCATCCCATTGTGGGCCGGGTGGAGGAGGGCTTCCAGATGGAGGTGGACGTAGTGACACAGCTGCTGCGCTGCCAAGCCCAGTTGTCCGAGTGGCACTTCCTGCCCGCCCTGCTCAGCCTGCACGGTGCCAACTCCAAGCTCCTCACCTGGGGTCAGCTGTTCCAGCGGCAGAAGGAGACTCGCAAGCACCTGTTCGGAGGTCAGTCCCAGAAGGCAGTGCAGCCTCCGCACCTCTATGTGTGGCTGCAGCGCTTCCAAGCGACACTGCTCGCCAAGTTCAGCTTCTACTTTCACGAAGTTCTGAGCAAGCAGACGGTACCGGCTGACATGAGGGCGCAGACGGCCCGCACCACCCCGGACTACTACGGCAAGATCTCCACCTTCATACGCAAACACGATGCCAGCAATGTGTCGCTTGTGTTTGACAACCGCGGCTCGGAAAGCTTCCAGGGTCACGGCTACCACCACCCACACTCGTACCGGGAAGCACCGAAGGGCGTGGAGCAGTTCCCCGCTGTGGTGTCACTGCCATCGGGAGAGCGGCCGCTCACACACTGGCCCAACGTCATCATGATGATGGGAGACCGCGCCGCTGAACTCAACACTCTGGACAAAGTGGTGCACTTCTATGATGACAAGGTCCAGAGCACATACTACCTGACGCGGCCGGAGCCGCACTTTACGCTTGTCGTCATCTTTGACGGAAGGAAGTCTGAGAAGGATCTGCACCTCACCGGCTTCTTGCAGGAGATTTCTGGCTCGCTTCGGAACTCCAAGCCTTTCAGCACCCTCAAACCCGGGTCAAAGGGCTGAACTGCACATCGACAAGACGCTAAATTTTTACATGGTCCGGCGTTTTCTGTGGTCCAGCTGGCGCTTTTTGCTGCTTTCTCAGTTTGCCAAAAATGTTCCAGACCAAAGAGATTCTAGGTGCTCTGAATTTATTTGACCTGACCGTGACAGGATGACCACCACAGCACTGCTTGTGCTCAGAGCCTTTTAATTATTTGGCATCATGCGGTTTTAACAGGTTTATGTTTTAATTCGTTATACATTACATTTGTTGTGCTTAATACAGTTTAAATAAAGATTTGAAATGTAAAACAGTAAAGTTTCAATATTTACTTTTTACATATTTTTTTTTGTATTATTTATTTATTTTTAATATCCTTATTTGTTTTAAACTCTTCTTTGCTGCAGCTGCTTTGGCTCCTCCCCCTGTTTGAACCAACTTTGTTCTGATTGGTTGCCTCTCACAGGACGGGACTGCAGTGCTCAGCTATGTGCTGAGATCACTACAATAAGGATATGTGACATCATTTCGAGACCAGACAGTTTAACCTGTGAAGCTTTTGGCTCACTGCACATAAAGTGATCTCATTATGTGAAACTTTGGCTATGTTTAACAGGAATATCCATCACTGGAACAGAAAGCTCAATATTTTAGAGGAGAATTAAATAAATTTTTTGTGAGTATCGTCTGAGATTAAAAATTAAAGAGTGTTCATTTACTGATGCACATACACCCACTGGCCCTTTTATTAGCCCAGTGCATTTAAGCATTCGAACACATTCAAAACAATCCTCCTGAAGTTCAAGCTAAACATCAGAATAGGGGAGAAATGTGATTTAAGGGACTTTGAACAAAGCCTAAAACTGCCCATCTGCTCTCCTGCACAACCGTCTTTAAAATTTACAAAGAAAGATTTGAAAAGAGAAAATGTCCAGTGAGCGGCAGTTTCTGGCCAAAAATGTCTTGGTGATGTCAGAGGAAAATGGAAGCCAACAGTATCTGAAATAGCCACTCACTGCAACCAAAGTATGCAGAAGAGATTCTCTGAAAGCAAAACCGGTTGAACCTTGCAGCTAAAGGGGAAACCGGGTACCACTCCCGTCAACTAAGAAGAGGAAACTGAAGCCACAGACTCACCAAAAACTAAATTTCTGCTGCAACTTTCAGATGGTGGGCGCACAATTTGGTGTTAACGACATTTGGAGAAATAGTGGAAAAAGAACTATGAAAGGGTTAAATGGCAGCAATTTACTGAACACATCAGGAAGTTTATTGAGTGGGAGAAAACAGCAAAGGAAAGGATAAAATCGATGAGAGGCTTGAATGCTAGTTTAGGTTTATTTATAATATAAATACAACACATTGATACAATCCATTTGGCTATATGAGCTCATCATTAGGAGGCTCAGTTTTCAAATACAGCAACACTAACAGACAAAAACCATTTCCTTTATTATCAAACACATTCAAAGAAACCTCCCTTTGAGTTAAAATGCACCAACATGTTATGATGCTACATGCCAAGTACACAATCCTATACATCAAAGTGCAATGTTCACAATGGGTTAATGCTAGAATTCATAATTCAGAAATCTACTAAACACTTTATGATTATTTCATTCGGAGTGCTGCTGCTCTTCGCTCAGGACATGCGTGAGTGGATTCACAACTTCCAAAAAAGGATTTTAAAAAAAGGCACTTCCACATACACACACACAGACACACACACACTCACAGATGTGCATCCACAGCCTATCTCAGCACGTCATGTTTCATTTTAATCACCACACTCACAGCCCAGTTGGAGGCCACATTCAGTGTGCTGTTCAAGTGTTTTTGGGCGTTTACACACAAAGCCCCACCCTGTTAGCTTATTGTGAGTTTAAGGTTAACTAGTGACTTCAGTGTAACGAGCAGGTAAACCAGTATTTTGACAAACACACAGATAGTGGCATGCTTTTTGCACTCGTTTTCCCCAACTTCCACTCGCGTGTTCTGGCACTCCTGGCAGGCATGAATTATCTATTATCTAATGCTATTCTAGTACTTCTGCACTTACAAGGGAGCAGAACAAGGGCAGGCAAGCAGAACACACACACACACACACACACACACACTTTACAAGGAGTATCAGGGTCACACCGAGGAAAAAAAAATATTACAAGAAATTCTCTTTAATTTTGCAGAACAAAGTCGAAACTTGAGGAATGAAGCTGTAACATCAGAACAGAGTTGAAATAATTTAAGGATCAAAACAAACTACTTGTGTAGGAAAAATCTAGTCAGTTTTGCTAAATGCTGGAAATTATAAAAACTGTGCGGTTAGAAGTTAAGGATTACGGGGACAGGGTTGGTCTTGATTCTAATTTCAAAATCCCATTTTAAAACTAAAAATACTGTCAAGAATAAACTCAGCATTTTGCGAACAAACCTAAAGCACTATTTCTGGAATAAAATTGAAACGGAAGCTACTTTCAGCTGTTCCTTTAATCACCACAGTGAGTAGCTCTGCACGTTTGATATGGCAGAAATCTGAAACATTATTTTGAGAATAAATTCAAAATAAAATATCTTTATTAAAGTTGAGATGTTATGCTGAGAAAGTCAAGATTTAAAAGTAAACCTGAAAAACTAAAGCTGAAATACTGTTTTGAGGACAAGTCAGAAATTTCAGAATAAAGTCAATATTCTGAGAATTACATTTTGAGAATAAACTCAAAATAAAGCGTCCATATTAAAGCTGAAACACTATTCTGAGAATAGATTTTTATAGAAGTCAAAATGTAAGCGTACTATTTCCAAAATACATTTGACATACTGTTCTGAGAAGGAATTTGAGATTTTGAGAATAGTCAAAATCTTCCAGAATAAAGTTATTGTTCTGAGAATAATGTTGAAATTCTGAGAATAAACACAATTTCCAGAACTAAGATTTGAGAAGAAAATTTAAATTGAAAATAAAGAGTTGCAACATTGTTATCAGAATAACGTTAACATTTCAAGCCAGAAATGTTGAGAATAAACTAGAAATGGTTATTCTAGAAGAAAGTTGAAATGCTATTCTGAGAATAAATTTTCAGACAAAATGTGAGAGTCAAATTTGGGAATAAAATAAATTAGTGCTGTGAGCGTTAATCTTGTTAAAATGACGTTAACACCATAACTATGGGCTCAAATTGTGGTCATAAATATTTTGTACTTGTAAATCAAATGCGTATTTGTGAACTGAGTTTTGTAACCTTGTAAACCAAAATATGAGAAAATTTTATGTCTGTGCAAATACAGATGAGAATTTACGTGTGTGTAAAAAGGATTTGTGTTTGTAAAATATTTACACAAGTTACACATTTTTTGTTAAGGTCTGGCTACAGATACAAAGCAAAAAGCTAGGTGTAAAACTCTGCGCTCAGGTTCCCTGGCTGTATGTGACTTTCAACTCACACATACAAATTTTCAGCCAATTTTTCTTCCTTTCAGCTGATTGGTCAATGTCATGTCAATCACATATTAGCAATCCAATCAGAGAACAGATGGGTTTGGCTGTTGGAGGGGTGCTTTACGGAGCTTCAGGTCCTGGAAGATTAAATGTTCTTTTAGATGCCAGCCCAGCGTTTTCCTTCATCTCCATGAAGGAAAAACAGTCTGTGCGTGTCAGAGTTCGGTGATTTTTGTCTCAAAGGTTTGCGTGCTTATACAGACATCCAGAACCCTTTCAGCAGCGCTCCAGACCTCGGGGGAAAGCAGTGTTGTGGAAATCTTCACTAGTGGGGATAGTCACAAAGCTTTCTTCATTATGAATTAGCGATACATGTTTTTATTGAACATTTGAAGATAAAACAACACAAACTCTTGTAGAGGACATAAACTCAGAGATAGAAACAATAAGGAGCAGGAGCATCTAGTTCACGTAGCGCTGCCGCAAAAACCTAGACAGCTCCGTAGCCAGCGCAACAAATTCTGGATCCTTGGGTCTTAGTTAGCAGTTAGCATTAGCAGCACACGCTGTGAAAGGGCCTTTATGCTGCGCACTGTAACTCACAGCAATGGTCCCGGATCAGCCCTGATTTTTGTGAAACTAATCCTAAAGTAATAATGGTATTTCTAACCATTGATATACCAAAACTTTATCCTTTCAACAGCTACCGAAAGTTAAGGGACCTAGCTTGTATGAGCCTTATGGGATATATAGTGGACTTCAGCACTAAGCAGGAGAGGAACTACCAGACCCCCGTCATCAACGAGTGCCCAGTGGAGAGAGTGGACAGCTTCAAATACCTCGGAGTTCACATCACGCAGGACCTGTCATGGTCCTGTCACATCAACACCGTGGTGAAAAAGGCCCGACAGCGTCTCTACCACCTCAGACGCTTGAGAGACTTCCAACTGCCCTCCAAGGTGCTCAGGAACTTTTACTCGTGCACCATAGAGAGCATCCTGGCGGGAAACATCTTAACCTGGTTCGGGAACAGCACCATGCAGGACAGACGAGCTCTACAGAGGGTTGTGCGGTCAGCTGAGCGCACCATCCGCTCCGAGCTCCCTGACCTGCACTCAATCTACAGCAGGCGGTGCTGGACCAAGGCCAGGAAGATCGTGAAGGACCTCAGCCATCCCAACAACAGACTGATAACACGGAGATTTGCCGTGTTAATGCGGTTATGGCGTTAACATCTAACGCTGACAGCACGAAATTAATGTTTCAAGAATACATCTGAAATACTCTTTTGAGCATACAGTTAAAATCTTCAGGATAAAGCTTAAATTTCAAGTTCGAAATTTAATGTAATTCAGTCCAGCTTTATATTGTAAGGGAAGGACCCCACAATAATCAAATAAACTGAGAATAAACTGGTAATACTAATTTTCAGAGTTAAAGTAGAAATATTGAGAATAAAATGTTGAGAATAAACTCAAACGTTTTCCATAATCAATGGGAAATACTGTTTAGAATAAATAGAAGCTCCTTAGACTACGATGACCTGACTAAGAACCTTAAAGTTGAGTATCAGAATAAAACTGTCGGTCTACAGAACACCTCACGTAGATTACGTCACACTTACGAAGCATTTTCAGTCACTCTGAAGTTTTTCTCTTATAGCTCACAAACACTTCATCACCTTTCGACTCTATTCCCAAAATGTAAAAAATAAACATAATTTTTTTTCTTAACTTGGCGTTGATGCTCCTTGATACACACTTACAACCACTCACAAACACACAGCAACAAAATCGTACAACCACCCCACCCCCTACCCGTCCCAGAAAAAGCTCTAACCAAACTCCACCACTCACTCCACCACCCTGTTTGAAT